ATATATATATATATATATATATATATTATACATACATACATACATGTATATATACATATATATACATATATGTATATATACATATATATATATACATAATATGTATATATATATATATATACATATATATGTCTGTATATATCCATCCTTCCATACATATATATATATATATATATATATATATATATATATATATATATATATATATATATATATATATATGTCTGTATATACACATACATAGATACATATATACATACATTCATACATGCATCTGTATATGCATGCTTAAAAGGGCACACATATACGTACTTGTACTACCGTATACTCATTACATTTTTACAGCATCTCTTTAGAATTATCTATCCATGTAGCTGACATGCATACTTGGTATCTGAACCCTGGCTCACCCCTAGAGACGATACCTGACACCCGGGGGTTCCCGTGGCCCAGGGCTGACAAATCAAGAGATAACCGGCCCAAGGCGAGTGTCCTACTGATCCTTACCGCCTCGAGCACTGTTTGTGGCGGACTCACCAGGGTCTCGTGACGGGAGGGCAGGCGAAGGGTGGGCGGGGCGGGAGGGTATGGATACCAAGATAAAGGGGTTAAGGGCTGGAAAAGGGTTCGCAAATTGGATATTTTGTCTGCCTTTTGGAGGGGGAGCAAGAGAGGCGAGTCTTGGGAGGAGGAGAGGGAGGGGGAAAGGGAGAAGAATCATGCAGGAGGAGGAAGGAGAAGGGAGGCATAGAAAAGAAGTGAGACATGAGAAACATTTTTTAAGAGAAGGCACAGCTGTAAGAACATGTTTTGCTCAATTAATCCAAGTCAGTTTTCTAAATAATGAATTCTTGAAATAATGAAATAGGGCTTCAGTGAAATATTATTACTTAAGGCCATTAGTAGACATCAAGGAAAGAGGCTCACGTCTTCATTGACAATTTAACGAAGGGAAACCTTCCGGCAGACACACAAACCTGTAATCCATGGCAATCCATCCGCATGTTTTATTTGCCGTCACTGCTTGCGTGGATAAGGTGGACTTGGGTTTCGCAACCAGAGTATGGGGGAAGGAGACCAACGATCCGCCCCAGTGACACACATCTGTCTGCAGCAGGTGCCTTCTGAACACCTGTGGCTGCGCTCTCGCTGCTGTCTTCTGGGGATCTGTGAAAACGAGAGTGTGGATTAGGTCACAAGTGTATGTGTTGGTCGGGTGAGTCACTGTGGATGATGCACTTCGCTTGTTTAGGGGAATCTGAGAGGTATATCGGCTTTGTTTATGACACAGACACATTCAATCTTCTGTCTTAGGTTCTATTTTGGTTTCTGTGTCTTAATCCCTCTCTCTCTTCTTCCTCTTCTTTTTATTCCCCTCTCTCTCTCTCCCTCCCCCTCTCTCTCTCTCTTCTGTCTCCCTCCCCTCCCTCCCTCCCTCCCTCCCTCCCTCCCTCCCTCCCTCTTACTCACACTTTCTCTCTCCCTCTCTCACTCACTCCTCACTCCTCTCTCTCTCTCTCTCTCTCTCTCTCTCTCTCTCTCTCTCTCTCTCCTCTCTCCTCTTCTCTCCTCTCTCCTCTCCCTCTCTCTCTCTCTCTCTCTCTCTCCCTCCCCTCTCTCTCTCTCTCTCTCTCTCTCTCTCTCTCTCTCTCTCTCTCTCTCTCTCTCTCTCTCTCTCTCTCTCTCTCTCTCTCTCTCCCTCTCCCTCTCCCCTCCCTCTCTCTCTCTCTCTCTCTCTCTCTCTCTCTCTCTCATCTCTCTCTCTCTCTCTCTCTCTCTCTCTCGCTCCTCTCCCTTCTCTTGTTCTCTCTCTCTCTGTATAACGTTATATCAATAAACAATCAGTCGGTCAATCAGTTCCTATCTCCTCGTGCGAAACCCCAACAGACACCAATAAATGCTGCGTAAATGGTTCCAAGACGGCATGAAGCTCCAGCGCCCCCAGCCAGCGCCATCCCAGCACGCATTCCCGGAAAGTAAATACGTCTGATATCCCAGTACGAACATGTGGCCGCGGCCGTTGTAGGGAGCAGTTCCTCTTGGCCGGGCAGACTACATACCTGTGTGGCGAGATCCTTCCGGGCGGTGAGGGGGGAAGGGGGAAGGGGAGGGGCTTAATTTCCTATTCCTGTTACCTCCTCGTAGGACACACGCGCGCGCGTCCTCGTATTAGGCACGTTCTGTTTGTAAAATAGGTTGTAAGGTTTTGGGAATTTTATGGTTTTAAGACCATGTATTAGATTAATGCAATGTGTTTGTGTGTGTGGATGAGGGAATCATGGACGGCAGGCAGCGGAGCGTGTGTGCATATATAAGTGCGTGTGTGCATGCGTGCGTGCATGCGATTCAAACAGGAAGAGGCTAGGAACAAAGTGCGTGTGACGGAACGGTGTTTAGACTGTGGGCGGGGTGCTCCTGCTCCTTATAACCTGCGGGCTGGGTGTGGGTGAGGGTGCTTGTTTTAGGGCGGGCGTAGGAGGAGGTGGCTGAGGCAGGTTATGCTGGTAGATGTTTCGGTTAGAGCTGTGGGTGAGGGGTAGATGGTAGGCTATAAGGGAGGGCGAAAGTGTGTCACTTATTTAAATATATATTTTTGAGTGACATTTCATCAACTGTTTATCGGGGAGATCGAGATCGCGGCGGGTTTAGAGTATAGGAAGAGAAAGAAAGGTGAAAGAAGGGCGAATCAAGCAGGTGAGGAGGAAATTAGTGCAAACTAGGGTGTAGGCGGAAGGGAATAGGTCTGAGAACGGATGTGGAAGTGGGATGGGCGGATAGGGATTACCGAGGAAAAAGGAAGACGTCAAGGGATATGGTCTAGTATTAATAGTAAGGGAGATATGAAGGGAGAGATAGCAATGCAGTGTGAGACGGAGGGGGTTTATTTCTGGGTGGAGGAGGCTTCATAACGTTCAGACCGAGATTATAGTCTAGATGACGAGTGGCACTCACGATGTGGTAAGTGAGTTAGATGTGACGTGAGAAAAAAGTTGAAGGGGCGGGGACCTACGTATCTTTAGGGAGGGAGGGAGAGAGGGAGAGAGGAGAGGGAGAGGGAGAGGGAGTGGAGGGAGAGAGGAGAGAGGAGAGTAGAGGAGAGGAGAGGTAGAAGGAGAAGGAGATGTAGAGGTAGAGTTAGGGGTAGAGAGGGTTAGGGGGAGAGAAGGAAAAAGGGAAAGAAAGAAAAATAGAAAGGAAGGAAGAAAGAAAGAAAGAGGGAGAGGGGGAAACTATTATAAATACAAATAACATAAGTTGGGCGTCTCCTTTTTTACCATGGTTGCTGCCGTAGCAAATGCGCAGTGTTGCAATACGGGCTTTTTGTCACACTTTAGTGGGTTTTATGACCGTCGTTGCAGCATTGTTTGCAGGAAGGTCTCTGTAGGTGAGCCGAGGGTGGAGCCAGGGCTTCTCACAAACGTTTCTTCAGCCGAACGTTTTTGTTGCTAGCTGTTCCGCTTGTCAAGGTTTTGTGTAATCGTTTCGCGGTTAAAGCCTTTGCATTTCATCAATTTATCTGCATTTTCCCCATTCTGGATAATGAACTCTATATATCATATGTAATGGGGAGGACCTCCGGCATCTTCAGGAAGGAGCAGGAGCAGGAATGTGGTCAGTCTGGTGTTTCCCAGGTATGATGAAACATGATGAATCAAGGCACGGAAAGGTTAACAATAAGCGGTGGTTGTACAATCAACTCTTCTCAAAGGAATGCCGCCTAATGCACAGGAAACCACTTAACACATTTCGAATATATTTAGTCTCTTTCTCTCTCTCTCTCTCTCTCTCTCTCTCTCTCTCTCTCTCTCTCTCTCTCTCTCTCTCTCTCTCTCTCTCTCTCTCTCTCTCTCTCTCTCTCTATATATATATATATATATATAATATATATATATATATATATATAGTGCGTGTGTGTCTGTGTATACATAATACATTCATACATACATACATGTGCGTGTGTGTATGTGTAAGTACACTGTACACGAAACTTAGTGCGCATAAATGTTTATCTCTATTCTCAAATGGTACGCAGGAAATAACGCAGTATATCATGAATATCTTTGTATACTTCATGTCGTGTCATATATATGTATATATGTTTACTTTTAATTATCAGTTCATTATAATGCACAGGAAACCACCCGATATATCAAGGATAATAGTTTGTACACTCAATGGCTTCTAAAATGTTCAGTTTATCATTCTAGTTGTAACAACGCCAAAGATTTATGCTGTTGTTGTGCATGCAATACAGCACGCAACATCCAAAGCCCACAATCCTTTAATCGGATAATCATCTGCAATTGAATAGAGTGGGTTAAAGGTAAAGCTCGTAGATGAAGGTTACGCTGACAGCATTGGTGTTCGAGAGAAGTCCCGAGTTCAGTTCTCGCAGTGGCTGACGAGGCGTCTTCAGCGAAAGCCACGCACGGCGCGTCTCTTTTTTTCCCCCTTTTTTTTAGCTGCATTTAGTCCCTCTCCCCCGTGTCTCGTCTACCCCACTGCTCGTCTGCTGCGCCAGGGTGAGAATGTCTCCCCCTGACTCAAACCGCAACCACGGCTCACCTTTGTTGTCGGTCGTGGAGCGGGCGGGAGCGACGGCGAGAACGGCGAGGTGCACGTGGCGTCGGGAAGTCCTCAGTCACGTGATTGTGATTTATCCGGCTGTGCTTAGGTAGTCTTATTTTTTCCCCTTTTCCCTCATTCCCCTCCGAAACCGAGCGAGAGGAAGAGGAGGGGGAGGGGGAGGAGGAGGTGCGAGGGTTGTGCCCTCCCCGAGTGCCAAGACTGTACTGAGATGGGAATTTGATTTAGTCATCGCTCTCGATTTTATTATCTTAGGGCTTAAGTGAGTGATAACTCGTGTTGACGGTGTTTATTTATTTATATATTTTGGATCATATTATTGCTATACATTGGAAGATGATAGTGTCATGTGGCAGGAATGCAAAATTTATTGGTACTGAATTAGAATCTCACAATTGAGTGTAATAGTATGGTAAAAAGGTTAAAGGAAACTGTTTAGGTGGCGGCGTGAGATGTGATGATTAGGTAACTGCGGTGGCATGAAAAGTTGATGTCATATCCTGAGTTAACAATCCTCGACCAGTCCCACTGCAGCCACGATGGAGGCAGCATCACAGTAGTTGCGTGCAGTAGTGGTTCAGCCCAGTCCGGTAGTGGATCAGCCGAGGCCGGCTCTGCAATACCGACTTTATTCATATAACTTCGCTCTGAGTTGCGCGCTGGGTTTGTGGTGGTGGTGGTTGTGGTGATTCAGTTACCGAGTATCTACTTTGTATTCGCGTCTAGCTTGTGAACCGAACCGCTGACATGGAGAACGTAGATAATCGTAAGTTCGACCCCCCAGCTCTCTCTGAGAGTCTGGCCGACGTGTCGAGCGCCCCCGCCAGCGAAGCAAACGATAAGGGGGCCGCGACACACAGTCTGTTCATTGTGGAAGAACTGGAGGATTCCGCGAAGCCTCCGGCCGCCGGCAAGGACCACGGCGGGGCAAGTGCATCCCCGGCCACCGAAGCGACCCTCGGGGACGGCCTGAACCCCCCGAAGGAGAAGATACGACGCCACTCCTCCTACGAGGCGCCGAGGCTGTCTCCGCTGCCTGCTGCAAGGCCCTCGCGCAAGATCAGCCTCGCAGCGCCCATGCAGACAGTCAGTAGGAGGAAGGAAGCCTATAAGTATAACCACGCCCCCCTCAGCATAGCATCGGGGACCATCGAGGACGACGAGGCCGACGCGCAGAGGATTCGGCGCGCCCTTGGCATTCCTTTCGACGAGGACTTCAACAGAAAGAACTGTAAGTCGAGCGCTGGAGAGCCTTATCGTGTCTTTGCTTGCGCTTCTCTCTCATCTTAGGGCTGAGTGCTTTATGGGCCCCCAGGGCTGTTCAATTCTTTGCTCTGCTGATCATGTTTAAAACATACACAAAGCCCTTTAAGGCGGGAGTTATCGGGATGAATGCTCATGTCTGCAGGTGCGAAGTGCGTCTTTGTGCGAGCGGCATGTGCGGGCCGGGCGAAACTTGTGAAAGGAAGCAATTATGAGTCATGGCTTTGGCTTCGGCCGCGAGCTCACAACACATCTACCGTGTTGCTGACCGCTAAACCGAGGCAAGCACGAGAGATCCGGGAAAGCCAGGGCGGCAGTACCAGGTTGGCTGCTCGAGTGAGGGACGAGGATGAGGAATGTTGACTCCTCAGGGCAAAACTATTTTTTCTTCGAGTCGGTCAGTTCGCTAGCCGCGGGAAATGGCGAGAATCGGGCAAAAAGCTGGTCGCGGATAAATGATTTGCATGAAGGCGCCGACGGCAAGCGGAGGCAGGCAAACGGGCTGTCAAATGCTACATTCCTCAGCCCGCCCTTTTACGCCCTGCTTTGTAATATGCGCTCAGCGTCGTCACTCCGGCTTCACTCTTCTCTTTTCCTATAATCTCTAGGAAGAAAAAAGTCTTCCCTCATTTTAAAAGGAGTAGCATCCTCCTCCTCATATTCCACAGTTTATTTTCCTTCGAAAATAGGAATGGAAATGCCACTCAAAAGGACGAATAAGTGAGCATAGCGAGGTCGGGGGAGCGGAAGGGAAATAGTTTGTGCGGACACGGCGAGGGGGTGGGAAATCGTTGGGGGGAGGGGAAGGGAAGGGCAGGTGGGGGGGGGGGGGTCAGCAGCAGCGACTGTTGGAGGGCGGAGGGAGAGTCATTTGTTCCGTGTGAAAAAATACTGCTTCCAGTTTCATTCATTGGGTTTGTGTTACGAGCAGGCAGGTTTGCACTTCATTTTGGAATCGGGGAAGGGCTTCTCCTAGGGTTGCTTTTCTCTCTCGGTGAATTGAACGAAGGTAGAGCGAGTTGATGGTGGCGCTGTAACGTCTCGGGCCGTCTGTGGGGCGTCGTTTGAGCGGGAAGAGAGTCGGCAGGGGAGGGGGAGGGGAGGGGCTGTAATGCGAATGAGGGGATTGTCAGAAGGGTAGTGGAGCACCCGCGGGTCCGTTTCCGTTACACGAGACTTCGTATTTGCATGCTCTGTTTCCACCCCCTCCCTTTTTTCTTTTCTTTTCTTTTTTTGCTTACTGTCACGTTATTTTTTTCTCTCGTTCTCTCCCTTTCTCCAGTTTCTAATTCTATGTGCTCCGATTCCTGTTTTCCTTTCGAAACGCCTTTCACCTTTTTTCCATTCTATATTTCTCTCTCTCTCTCTCTCTCTCTCTCTCTCTCTCTCTCTCTCTCTCTCTCTCTCTCTCTCTCTCTCTCTCTCTCTCTCCTCTCTCTCTCTCTCTCTCTCTCTCTCTCTCTCTCTCTCTCTCTCTCTCTCTCTCTTTCTCTTTCTCTCTCTCTCTCTCTCTCTCTCTCTCTCTACACTCCCTCTCTCACTCTCTCCCTCTCTCCTCTCTCCCCTTCCATCTCCCTCTTCCCTCTCTCCCTCTCCATCTCCCAGCGTGCCCCAAACGCCGAAACATTAATCTTTCTTTCACTGTGCTTTTATTTCCTCTCGCCCCGTTCTTCAGCCTCCCTCTCCTTGTCCCGCCGGGCATGAAGAGGGGAGTAGGAGAGGGGGAGGGGGGGGGGGGCTCACATGAAAACGTCGCCATGCCAAGACTCAGGATTTACTTTATTGAATTTTTTCTCCCCTTCTCACCCTGTAAGATACAAACGCAGAGTGTTCGTTCATTCATGAAAACTCCCCTTAGTGTTTGGATAGCGTCTTCACCGCTTTATAGTGTTTACCTCTTTCAGGGGTTTTAAGTTTAGTGTGAAGAGTGAGGTAACGTGAGGCAGTTGAAGTGAAGCAGCGAGGTTCAGTAGTGGCGTGAGGTAGTACCAGGTAGTCTGGTTGCCAAGTAGTTTGTGGCAGGGATGCTATGCGATGGTGTAGTTGTAGGGGATAGAGCTACGTAGACCCTCGAGGTAGAATACTCATGTGAAATTATGGAAGAATGGAGGAGAGTGATGAAGGTGTAAGATCGACGGATTAGGGAGTGAAGAAGATAGAGCGGAGAGGGGGGGAGAGAGCCACGTTACCAGGTGGAGGGATTTCTGGCCGTGATATCACCCTCGGCAGCGTCTGGGAGTGCCGTTGTGCCCTACCCTCCATCCTCCATCCCCCTCCCCTCCTCCTCACGCTTCTCCCCTTGCTGTACTACCCCCTACCCTAACCTCTTCTCCTTACCCCTGCCCTTACCCTGCCTGGCACTACGGCACTCCCACTGACTGTCTTGGCGTAAAATATTCCCAACCTTTTCTTTCGGTAAAATTATGAACGCATGTAAATGTTTTATACGTATTTTTTTCCCTCCGTAATTTGCTTCATTATGGTAAGGCTAAATAAAGTATTTTCTCTCATCTTGGGTCTGTGATCCCTGCAAGCACTTGAACCTTAGCGATTAACGAGCTTGACTTTGTAGTCACAATTACTACTCATATAAAAGCTGCAGTCATTTACATTGTTAACAAGGCATGGCGAAAGAGCGTGGGAAGAAACGCGCTTGTTAAGGCGTGTTGACATTTGCTGAAGCCGGCACCATAGCATGGAATATATATTTATAAATATAATAAAGTGGTTTATGTTATTGTTTATATAGGAAAGCGAATGGGGTACAAAGAAACCAAGGAAAGGGTTTGAGAGTGCCAGGGTGTCGCTATAAGCTTCATCATGGGGGTTGGCACCCATGTCTGGCACCGTCCCATGGTGCCACCGGGCCCTCTTCCACTTTTTGGGGATGCCCCGCTCTTTTGATGCTACTTTCGGTCGTCATTTTTATGCAATTTAGTTGATCACGAAACCGTGCCATGTATTGTTTGAATTAGAAAGTTGGCCTCGCAATATATGAAGATGGTCGCGATGTCAAGACGTTTAGCAGAAGACAAACGGTTCTGATTTATTAAAAGAGTTGGCTCACGAGTTGACATCATAGCTGTATCCTGCCATTCAACTGTCTAGTTTGTGTCTGAAGTTGCTCGCTCGCCCAAACACAAAATTTGCTTTTTCATGCTAAAAGGTATATGAAAATATAAAAATGGATAGGTAGAGGTCTTCTATTATTGATATGCCGTGCTCTCAGACTTGAACTCGGACTGAAAAACTTGTAAGGGATTGATAGTAATTAATTTCAGGGGTCATAAGGTGTGTGCCCCGGGGTCGAGATGGGAGCGGATCCTCCGGTCTCGGATCGGGTCTTGGGCTTTCGTCACTTATTGATTTTCTTTGCGCCACTTATTGATTTTCTCTGCGTGGAGATTGAAGAGGGTTCGAGAGATAGCTGTTGATTCATTATCTTGGGAGATCGCATTTCCTCCTCATCGAAGTGTTATCTGATGCGAATGATGTCATTGTATTTTGAGGAGCGACGATATGAAGTAATTTTCTTGTATACATATACAACATATGTATGTATGTATATAGTCTTCCAGGTAGCTTTCCATGTCTGCATAGCTTTGAAATGATGTACACTATAGTCTTGAGATGATTATAGAGTGCATCACCCATTTAAAAAAAGTTGATTGACTTTGTGGGCACACTGGGAAGGCCATGATAATGTGCCCCGGAGGACTGGCCTGTGCAATGCCCCCGCGGAGGTTAATAGGATCGGCCATGCGGTCAGGGGTGATCTCATGCACCAGCAGACAAGATTATCGCGGGATCTAGATTAACGTTGATGCTTATGAACGATTGCGCGAAGTGGGGGAAGAGGGTATGGAGGAGGGAGACGGAGGGAGGAGTAGGGTGAGGGAGAGGGATGGAGGGAAAGAGGAGAGAGGGAAGAGAGGCGGGAAGCGTGAGAGAAAGGGAGGGAGGAATGAAGGAAGAAAAATCATTCGGTGATGCAAGCCACATGGAAAACATTAATTATTGCAGATGGTTTTCACTGATCGGTGATGCAACGTCTTTGTCACCTCGCTGTTGCATGGCGGCGGAAAGGCCAGATAGGAAAACCTTTTAAATGCTAGTTCTTACTCCATCTGATTGTGAGTGATAACATGTGTCACTTCTTTGACTTTCCGGAGTTTTATTTAGCAGTGTCGTCATTATTTTTTTCTGTTTATTTTGAAGGATCAGTTTCCTCCAATGTAGAAGATAGTCGTAATGTACAAAAAATATTTTTGTGTTGAATGACGCTATGCAGGGTTGTTCACTATGCATGGAGGGATTGTGAAAAAAGACTACAGTTAAAAAGTTTAGTGGTTTTACCAAAACAGATTATGTGTAATTCAGTTCACATTTATGATATGTGTCGGCATTAAAAAATGTTTAAGCTGAAAATACTTGTCATTGCGTGAGTCTGATAGCATATTGATAAATGATTTTATATAAACATTCAGTCAGCTGTGTAATATGTGACTGGCATCACACGTCTGGATGGCAGATTACACAACATATTACTTTCCTGATAAGATTGCGCTGCCCGAGATAATTCCGTCCGAACGCGCCTGAAGACCCTCACATCGCTGCCGTGCCTACGCGCCCTGTATCACCCTCGTACTTAAGGGTTAGTTTCCCTTATCGCTCCCTATAAAACACCCGCCGTAAAGCCATTAGAGCCGACGACCTGTGGCTCTTGTGTATGTGGTGGCTCCTCCTTGTCCTGGGGGGAAGCTGTCCTTAAGAGCCGCTTCTAAGGATGTTTTGTGCGCCCGAGAGGCTTCCCCGATCGCCTGAGATGCCCTGGTCTTTGTGGGTCTCTTTTTTAATGGTCTGCTGGGGTTTTACGAGGAGGGGGTTGTGATGGGGTTTAATTTATTACGAGTTTTTGTCCAGCGCTCTAAGAGTCTGTGCCTTTTCTTTTTGGGTTTTCTTACTTAG